GAAGCACAGGACCCCCATTTTAAGTAAATTTTCCTAGCCCGTGTACTATCACGGCTGTGGCTCAACGCTATTGACATGCGATTATTTTAATTTATATACAATAGTGTAAATTTTAAAAACTTGGGGAGAACAAAAATCACTATCTATATTGCATGTACATGCCTTATATTAAGTCAGGAACTAAGTTTTGAGGCCTTATTTATAACTATTACCAAAACCCTTTGAAACGCTAGAAAAAATTTAATTCGTTTTTACGAAATATTATTTCGTATTTACGAATTATTATTTCGTAATTACGAAATAACATTTCGTTTTTACGAATTAATATTTCGTAATTACGAAATAATATTTCGTAATTACGAAATAATATTTCGTAAAAACGAATTAATATTTCGTAATTACGAAATAATATTTCGTAAAAACGAATTAATATTTCGTAATTACGAATTAATATTTCGTAAATACGAAATAATATTTCGTAAAAACGAATTAATATTTCGTAATTACGAATTAATATTTCGTAAAAACGAATTAATATTTCGTAAAAACGAATTAATATTTCGTATTTACGAATTAATATTTCGTAATTACGAATTATTATTTCGTAAAAACGAATTAAATTCCTGGGATAAAAGTGTGGAAAATGTCATCTTAGGGGCTCCGTAGATATCCTTTTATAGTCATGTAAGTTTTTTGCATACTTCTCTCCACACTCCAACTCGTTGCTGGTGTTTCTCTTATTGTCTAGTTAACAAAAGCACATTTCGTCTTTTAAAGGCGTTTAAATTCTGATATTTCTATTACTTGAAATACAATAATCATATAACAATATTTATTTGTAATTTCATGCCATGCAAGAACGTATCTGTTCAGCCAACTAACGACAAGGGAAGGTTGAAATTGAGTAAAAAAATATTTTATTATCTAAAAGAAAAGATATCAGTAATCACGTTTTTGTTAACTTTTAATTGATAATATATGTAAAATTTAATTATTTTTAATGATGAATGTGAGTTTAAAATCTTTCAAACTCGTCAAAAAACTTTAAATTCTAACATTGAGTGAATCACGGAATATAACGTTAGTTTTAGCTTAATAATTTAAGCTCACTTTGTGAAATGAGTACTTGCAACTAATATCAATAATTCTGAGTCCGCCTGTTTTCTGGAACTAGCCAGTACTTGATTGGACCAATGGTCGTGATCCTAGTTGAACAAGAGCTTGAATCGCCCGGAAGCTGATTCTAGGCCATCGTTTCAGTATTCGGTGCCACTGTCACATTTTTATTAAATTTACTATTCACTCTTATATTAACAATATCACTCTTTGAAATAGATTTAAGAAAGAGAACTTTATCATGGTCTGATCTGTCAAGGTGGTAGTCATTTGGTAACAGTTTTTGACTCAAATCATTTTTTTAAACTCACAACCGGGACTTTGTGGGACATTGTTGGAAAAGTATTCATCTAGCTCACGGAAGGTCTCGCTGTGGTTCGTTTTTAAGGTCTTACTCTATTTAAAGCTTTGTTCATTCAACAGTGTTGCTGTAACATAAATACAGTGAATAAGACAGCAAGAAATGTAATTTCTCTAAAAAAATTAGGAAATGATTAATTTCTATATCCCTGTAAGAAAACGAATGTTGGTAATTAGAAATAAGCTTTTTTATTACAACACTATAAAATTACTTAAAATGTATGCGTTTTCCTTCTTTTGAAAATACAATGTATTCGAAAAATTATACATGCACATATACATGAATGCACTTCTGTTTTCAAATTTACTTGAGTCATTTCATTATTATCTTTTTATATACATGTACATGTACAGAAGAAAAGGAAGTACTATTGACGTTACAAATGTATCCGTAAGTTGTTTTCATCCCTATTCAATTACACAAATAACATGTAAATAATGAAATTTTGATAGTACAGCACTTGAAACTAGCTTCCTGTCGGACAGTTACGACTTTCCGGATACAGATTGATCGGTCATATATAAGTTTATTGGGCCATAGTTATTAAAGTAGAGTTATGATTATATCTTAATGTTGGATTGAACAATATAGATCAGAAGTCATGTCAATAATAGAAACATTTAAAGAAACGGGGATATTTGTTAAAATTAGCAGTAGTTCACTGCTTGTGTCTCTTTTGTTTGTGTGGATAGCATTTACGTGCACGGGTTGGGGAGGTTATGACAGGAAAGAAGTTCCCAGCGTAAAAAATGGGATGCATTTTGGACTGTGGCGGATTTGTGATGATTCGATAATAGTAACGCCGTGCAAACCTCTGGATGGAGTTACGAATGGTAATTTGTTTACTATACTCGCACGTTTTTATTTAACCCTTAATTTCTTAAATTTGAGAAATAGCTCTGCCCGGCTTCGGAAGTGGAACAGTCCATTCAAGTGATTCTTTTAATTTCAAAATACAAAAAATTATCTATAAATAGTAAAGAGCATGGCCTTGTGGCTGAAAAAAGTTAATTTTTATGATACGAGTGTACAAATTATTATGGACTGTTATAGTAGAATTACTGCTCAAATGGGTTTTGAGTATTTCTGGTGGAGTGAGTGTCGTTCTTTTGTCGCTCTGAAACCACTTGGCCAACTTTGATTAAAATTTGCCCGTTATATTTTTTGTAAGAACTCAACAAAAGATTGTTTTAATTGTTTCGGATCACAGTATATCTAGTCACAGAAGCCAATTAATAATTTTGTGATTTTTTTCCCGAAACCAACTGACCAAGAGAGAAGCATTGTCTTTTTATTCTCTACCAAACTTTGTAATCAAACGCTACGGACTCACTTGACTTAACATAGATTTGTTATACTAGTAGCTCAATTTAAGGCCGACACTGAACTTAGATTTTTTGAGTGTAGCATTGTTTAGTAAACCACTATCAAATTTGTTGAAATACATGTAATGACCTTGGGGTGAAAAGTGACATTGATTTTACATAGCCTGCTATAGGAAACCCTTAAACTATAGCTTAGAGTTTGATATTTGGTGTAAAGAAACGTAAAGTGAATCAGAACCAAGTTATTGTTTTTTTAAACATATACGGGCTATCTCTTACGTAGTATCGTACAGTGAACCTTTCCCAAGTTTGTTAATTGTCAAGTTTGTTACTTGATTTTACATATAGGCATATCGTTTCAAATAGGAAAGCCTTTAACAGTTTTCTCCTCGCACAGCCGAGTAATATATTTATACCAAGGTAGCAAGTGCCAATCACGAACCTAGGAGTCAAAAATCTTACAGGGTAATTTGATTTTACGTTCATAGACTTGATTTTACGTACATAGACTCAAATAGGGAAAATCTTTAAAAATCTTCTTTTTCTTAAGCACAAAGTTTAGAACAAAGATACTTTGTGTGTGGTATTATCTAGTTAGGTTCTTTATAGTTATCATGAAATTGATATCAGATGAGCGATCTAGGGTCATCATCGTACTCTTGTTTGACCTTTTCCCACTTTTTGTTCAAAAGGTACGAAAGTCAGAAACATTATTTTTCTTAGAGATTACGTTTATAATTGCATCTATTGTCTGTTGCTGATTCATTGTTTTTCTGTTTTATTCAGAGTGGTTTGGAACTGTTCAAGCGTTCGTGATATTTGGGTTTCTTGGAATAAACGTGGCATTCTTTCTCCTCATATTGTACGTATTTGTTCCAAGTTGTCAAAGAAACGGAGAGGTTGGCAAGGCAGCAAGCATCATTTGTTTTGTAACGGGTATGTAAAGAAGTTTTATTTGCTTTAGATGATTTTATTTTACACCTTATGAATATAACCGACCCATTTTTTTAGCATTTGTACCACGTGATGTTCCAATAGAATTCATTATTGGGTCCAATCTTATCAATTTAGCCTCGTTTCCATTTCGGGAGTACAAACGGTTCATCACATCCCATACAACCTAGCTTTCATTTCCGGTGTCAAAAATAATTATATCAAAACAATATCGCAGCCCATCCAGCCTCATTTTTTTGAGTATCCAAAATCCATATCAAATTTTATTGATATTGAATTAACAAAATTTTGTCTAAAATGTCAAAAAATGGTGGTGTGAAATAAAGAGGTCATAAAACATGGTTGAGAACAATACAGATTCTATTGGACTCGTGCAGAGCTGCAAAACCTATATAGACTCGTCTAGAGGCTCATCCAATATTAGTTTGATAGCTGTGTACTCATTCAATAGAATTCAGTATTGTACTCAACAATGTAAAATAACCTCATAAAATATTATGTAATTGATAACAAAAAACATAAATACATAATCATTTACAACAAATATCTTTAAAACGACGTTTTGTAGAATACGTATTTTAATGACAGAACAGTGTGTTGATGACGTTATTTTAGAAATTCATTTTCGGAACGTGTGAGCTTGTTGTTGACTGTTGACGTTCTTTTTTTAAATATCAATTTTAATGACAACTTACAGAAAAATGAAGCGTATAAATGGAGTTATTGTAAACTAAAAGTAAATTTATATATGAATAAAATAAAATTTAAAAAAAAAACGAATTTTAACTTGTATTTCAGCTGGCTTTTATTTCATCGGCGTAATAATATTTGGCGTGAGATACAAGCGTGATTACATAGAGCAATACGAGCAAAATTTTAAATTTGGATACTGCTACTTCTTGTCAATAGCTGCAATTCTTTTCGAGGGCGGTGCTGGGGTACTACTATTCCTGGAGGCGAGGATGAACGGAACGCAGACACCTACGGAAAGACAAAATCTAACGGTATCCACGGCGTCTAGTTATCAAGGGAATCCAACCTACGGAGCCTCGACAAACCGAGATACAGTCGAGTAGAAAATTACAATGGCATCATAAGATAACATTCTCTTGTCTCGCTATGTGTAGAAAATCTTTTCGTATTCTTTTTGGTTCTTGAAACTGTTCTGTAGCATAATAACATTAATTTGTAAAATGATGATTATATCTTTTATAAATAAAAAATCTGCAAAACAAAATGGAAAAGGTTCAGTTGATTTTGTCGATTTAAGTAGTATTCAAACTTTGACACTCAATTTTATTACGGAAGAACAAGAAAAAGAACTCATTTTTGAACTCAAGCATGTATATTTATGTATACATGTACTTTTATTTTAGAGTGCATACAAAAGTAGGCGTTTATAAATATGCATTAATGTCAGCATGTAAACAATAATTGCGCATGCGTGAAATTAATTTCCGTTCTTAACGTACATAAATGTAAGTTCTAAAGGTTTATTAAACCATCTATAAGTAAAAGTATGAAATTTGTCTGAAGGTCCGACCTGTGATTGATCTGTCGTTGATGTAGCTTAATTTTTACGGGGTATAATTCTTATTTATTGTAGGATTAACAAATATTTGTTCATTACGAGGTTGTTTTTTATGTCATTAATTATAGTTATTCAAGGCGCACAGAACTTGTTTAGATTAATATTACAAAGAATTCTCCTTTAAACTGAATCGCATTTTTCGTCATTCTATACACACACTGCACACATTACACATTATAAAACGGAACTGCACAGTGCAGTGCAAGAGTTATATTCGCATCTCTAAAAGTACAATTAAGGACTATGTCTCGCAGAAAGATAAGATAGAAAATTTGAACCACCTTTATTATTTCTAAGAAATTCTGAAACAATTTAAACCTGTGATCAGTTACATCGTGTCCGGCATAAACTTCTTAATGCATGAAGTTGCGCTTCCTTTTGGAGAAAAGACTTCTTTACTAGATGACAATACATTGTTCTTATAAGCTTACCAGTAATATTTGGACAATTTAGAAATGGTATTTAAACAATATGTCAATCAGTTTTAAAATAAAATTAAACAACAACAACAAAGCATATCATACTTTTCCCCCGCTTCTATTCTTTTGACGCGGACTTGTGGTCATAACACAACAAGTGCTTATTATTTATGAGGCGCTTTTTTCACAGACGACTTGAATTTTTGAATATTCAATGGGACCAATCAAATTAATTTAGACTGATCTCTCATATAAGATATATAGACCAATAAACAGAACAAATATTTTATTATTTTCGGACTTGAGCATACACTCCTCATTTAAACAGAAATACAGTACATTAAGGCTTTGCCTTTGTTGATCAAGAGATAAATATGATTTCTTATTCGTTAAATGTCATTGCTTCCGGTCAAAACAAGATGTCTGCATTTTTTTTTCAGTGACAAAGAAAAAACCCCTGAAAATATGTAAATTTTAATGATAACTAATCACTGGCATCTAAAGGTGAACTTAAACTATAATAGTAATTTTTGGTGCTCGATAGACTGGGAATTTTAGATTTTATTTAGGAGATGAAGATCCAATCCTTACCATTACTTAGGTGTGACATTCTCTTGCATTAGGTTTAAAACAAGCATCTAAGGCAATGTATTTACTATTTACCGCTAGATCTTATTGTTCAATGGATTTCTACGTAAAATAACCAAATCTCATAAATCGACCTATAAATCGAGCTTGGACGGTTACCAATATCTATGATAATTAAAGATCCCGTATGTTGTAATTAAGGTTGTTACCACACTTAAGTAAAATTTTATATATGTATATAATTATGCTTCTAAAACATTTAAAACATCGAAGAATATGTAAAATATGTACTGCTAATATGTTACCACATTTAATGTAATCATTCATTTTGGACTTTATAGAAAATAAATTTCTTATTATCCCCATTTATTAACATGAATTGTAAATACGGTAATATCTTTAAAAATAATGCTGTTTGGAACTTACAGCATTGTTAAATCTTCATTTGAGCATTATATTTATAATAGAAAACTGTAAAAATTGAGTAACAGGATCTTTAAAACTATGTTGATCTCATTTCCGAATCGTCTCATATTTGTCCACTTTACATGTAGTCATTAAAATATATGCATTTATTTCCTATTGAAAATTTTACTTAGACTTTATGGAAAATAAATTTCTAATTATCTCCCTTTATTTACATGAAATGTTATTTACAAATAATGCTGTTTGGAACTTACAATATTGAGCATCAAATACACTCGAGCATTATATTTATGATACAAAAACATACAAAATTGTGTTCCAGGATCTTTAAAACTTAGATGATCTCATTTTCGAAACATCTCATTAAAGCGATACTCAGGCAAATTAATGACAAAAATATTAAAATTATCTTTTATTCTAAAATCACGCTAAAATGACATTTTTTAAGTCCCAGCATGAATTTCTGTATACATTCTATATGTTTTGGGTTTGAAGCGTAAATATATCTATATATGTTGAACGAAATTAGCGTAAATATATCTATATATGTTGAACGAAATTTAGACGCCGACATAATCACTGAGTAGTTTTAAAACAAGTCATGTGACTTGAACAAACCCTGGAAGTGACAATAATATATATTTTTTTCATAAAACAGATGCTTGTTAGAAATACAATAACATATTATCTAATGTTAAAATTTATAAATCGACAAATTCTCCTTTGCACATAGTAATACTTTTTAAATTTATGAATGACCTTCCTTTTAGTTGTAGATAACTGTTATGCCGACATTCACGTGCCGATTTACTGCGTTGTGCTTTACATACATGCAGGTGGGTATTTGGCACATTTGGCAATGTTTAAAACATTACAGTGACAACCTCCATATTTTTCCAAATTTATTTAGAATAATAAATAAATGGTGAACAATGACTTAAAGTAAACCAATCCCAGCTCGATATTTCATTTCATAGTTTAGAAGAAGATATTTGTAAATTGGTTTCTCTTATTTAGTAAAACTTTTCTTTTTTAAATTGGAAGTGTACTCTGTTAAATTTTACTGTTTTTTGTACCAGAGCTATACGTTCTCTATTATATAAACAATTTGTTATGTTTCCAAATATGTATTGAATAATGCTTGGGCGGAAATAAAAGACATGTTTTATTCTGTTCTGTTCTTTTCAGATCAAGAAGGGCAAAGTGAAAATATTTTCGGCAAAATTTTCGCCTGACTTCGCCCCAAACGCAGTTGCTGCATAGGAGATCAGAAAATACAACACAGCTTAATTGCAGCCCTTTGATTTGTTTACAGTCATGCGATACAAAAGAGAACAGCTGTTAGTTAATAACATCGTGTTGAAACCAACAAGGACATTTTTTTGCAAAATACATAGAATTAAAGTAGCCGTGAAAACAAACATATTTACTAACTAAAACCAAAAAATATATATAATTGCTGGTGAACAGTTTTATTAATCCTAGTTTTTAATCTGAACGTTTGAAATGAAAACATTAAACAGTATGTACGTACTTACAAAACTAAATTGGTCGCGCGGCTATTGTGGAAAGGAAACCTTATCTTGGACTACATAGTCACTTCCTCGTTGCCGACATAAAAGGTTCTTTAGACCTGAATGACCTATTTAAATGAATACAAAAGCTTTAAGTATATCCATATTTGGTGACCCTATACTTTCGCTCACTGACCCAATTGACCTAGTATATTCACAAATGGTTGTTACAATAAACCAGGAAGTTTTGTGCCTAATAATCGTTAACAGAACGCGGTCCTAGATGTCAAACCTTATATTTGAAGAAGTAATTATTTACAAAGGTATTGCACATACATAATAAATTATGATATATGATATAATTGTTGTTTTTATCTATCATATGAATAACAAAAGTTCTACTTGATTGAAATAACTTTTGAGTGTAAATTTAAAGCACTAATAATAAATCCGAAAGGTTCATGAAATGCAAGAATACAGTTTTATAAGAAATAATTGTTGTAAAATTGATATAAGATATAAAACTATATGCCAGTTTTCTAAAAAAAATAATAAAAAGTTAAAAAAAGTAAGAAAACGTAAAAAAGGAGAAATGTGTACATAGGACACGGATGCCCCCACACGCCACTGCTCTGTCAATCTAATGTCTCTAGGTCAAATATTTTTTGGGCTACATGTGCCATAAATTGAAAACTAAAAATCTTTTACGAAATAAAGGGCAAGAACTTAACAAATACTGAATAAATCCACAAGCATACCCCAAGGTGCATAAATACACATGCTGACCAACATTCTGGTAAACTTTCAGGCCTACAGGTTGGATAATTTGCTTGAATGATCATGTAAGTTTCGTTGCTATTTCGCAGCAACAGTTCACTAAATACATACATATAATTCATGACATAAATTTTATTAAAGTGTATAAAGCTATATATCTGCTGCAGAAATATAGTTTATATTTGAAAAAAAGGAGAATACTTCCAAAATGTTGGTATGAAAGAAATTTGCTAGTAAATATAATTACATCATTGAAACATGTTGTAAAGATTATAGCTTTATGTCCTTTTAAACACACATTGACACATGTATATTATCCTACTGTTAAATTATATACATAATATTTACTTCAGAGTACGTATTTTATTTGATTATTGTGCCCCCACTATGAGGGGAGGGGGGCATTTAGATTTATCCTTGCCGTTCCGCCCGCCGATCCGTCCGTCTGTCCGTTCTCTTTTTTTTGAGGACTACTGGGACTATAATTCCTTTAGGCCAACTTTCCGGATAGATACCATTTACAAACATATAATCGTATAATTTACATAAAACAGGTGATAAAATTGTATTACATTCTTTAAATATTTCAGCAATAAGCATATAAATTCCACCAACCACTTTTACCACATTTTAAACAGTAAATAGCCTTTTCTACCTCTGTTCTATCAAACATCTTATCAAATTGCTCCACATCGTTATCATTTATGAAATCATTATTCATCAGCTCATTTTCTACATCATTATTGATAAAAACATTATCCTCTGCAAAAAGATTTTTAAATGGTCATAAAAGTCATTATAGTCAATGTCTGTCTGGATTTTTTTTATTCCGCTATAGAATTTTTCTGGACTACTCTTTGCTTAATTATGTAAGTTACCTTGCTATTTAATCTTAATTTACCTTAAGCTTTTCTTTGAACTAGTTTTAA